AGTAGTTTCTCTGATCATGTCTACAGTGTTGGCTCCAATATAAAGTAGAAGTAGCTGAGCTAATTTCAGTCCTACAGTGAATTTATCAGTAGCAGTAGTGAATCATGCCTATGAATTTGCTCTGCTGCTTTGTGGTGTACTTTGTGAACCACCTAGTTTTACTTCCCTCCAAAGCTTGTGGGATTCATAACCAGTTTTGGTCCCTCATATATCTATCTCTTGATCATTGGGTGTCATATTTAATTAAAATGTATTTAAAACCTGAAGAAATTTAATTTTAAAACCTGCAAAAGTTTTATATCAATTTAGTTGATAACATACAGTACACTAAAAATAACTGTTCTGGTCTGCAGTGATACCATGGGCAATTAAAAAACCACCACGTACTCCAAGGCAATCCATAACAGTTTACAAAGCTAAAATGATTTAACATTAAGCATTCAGGTTACCAGAAGCCATCTGTTTAACACCTACAATTGAAGCACAGCTAATGGGATGGCAGTAATATTGTCACTGCAATTCTACAATAACTTTCCTAAGTTTAATCCAACTTTATTTCACAAAAAATTTATTTCCTCCACTTCATCAATTCAAGTGAATTCAGTGAGTCTCTTCAAAACAGTGAATTAAAATAATCCTCTTTATAAGCACTAAGTCTCTCTAGATTGCACAGTCATCTGTGAACATCTTAATGTCCTACAAATAATTCCACATTTCACCACTCCTGGAATTTTTCCTGCCTGATTTTACTAACCATTACCTAGACACCAACAGGTCAAAATCAGAACACAGAAGAATAAAAAAATAAAATAAAATAAAATAAAATAAAATAAAATAAAATAAAATAAAATAAAATAAAATAAAATAAAATAAAATAAAATAAAATAAAAATCCACAAATATATCTCGTTATTTTCTCAGGTCTGAACTGCCATTATTGAAATGATAGTGCCACTATCTACAAATGAAGTCATTAAGAATTCAGTCTTTGCTTCCTTATCTATCCATTTCATTTTTCTGTTGGATCCTGCCCTTGCCTTTTGCCCTCCATTAAGAGGCTCCCCATGTATATGTCCCAAACTAAAAATGTACATATAGGCACAGAACCATGAATCACCCAGAAATGCCAAAGGATACGGAACCACTTTCACAGACACCTTTAAGGGAAGCAAGTGGGAGGCACTTACCGGCCAGCTGCAAAGCGCTGTGAACAAGAGAAAGAACATGCAAGCACCGGAAGATCATAATTGTAAATGCTGTTTTCTTTTCTTCCATTCACCAAAAGCTGGACAATGAGAGTTACTGACAATAAAGTCCTGCTGAAGAGAGAACAGTGACCAGTCCTCTGCAGTTTCAAAGGCTGGATGGTTGAATAGAAATCTCAGAGTGATAAATAAGGAAATATTCTGTCACATGTCACATTTCAAAAAAAAAAAAAAAACACAAGGCCACACAGCACAAATTTTGCCTTAGAAAAAGAATGACTTATCACTGAGGGCAAAGTATGCTGTCTTGAGAAAACAGGTGATACACAGATGGTTATATCTCAATACTTTCCTTCTATCTCTTCTGATGAGACATCTGGGGAGTTCATGGGATCAAATCAACAGTGAAATATCAAAAACAGAAATTCAGACTCAGCTTTTAAAACTTACACCTTAATTACACAATGAAAAAAATACCATCAGGAAAATATGTCGGTCTCATATTTTCATGGGTGAGATGAGACAGGATTGAATTTTAGAGGATTTAAGTGAAATTCACTCTGCAGGACGTTATAAAAAAATCTTCCCTTCTAAATGAGATTGCCATTGTCCTACTGACCTTCATTTCTACATAAATGCAACTAGGAGACTAGCACCCATAGCTACCTGAAAAACAGCTCATTTTAAAAACAGTCCATGTTTTTCTTGTGAAGTAGGTCAATCTTGTCAGACAGTCATATCAAGAGCCAGCCACAATTTCAGGATATATTATGTATCTCTTTTTACCCAGATCACAAAGCCAGCACTCAGGAGTTTGGTTTCCATACATACAGGTGGAAATCTGAAAGAAACAGCACTCCTCTCCCGACCACTATAGACTGTCCATACAGCTACATAAAGGTCTGACTTTATCACAGTAGATTTTTACCATGGAAATATTTTGTTTTGTTTAAAAAAACTGTTAAATAGAAAAAACAATCTGTGGTGTGAAAATATTATTTGAAATGTAGTAAGATATTTGTTCGGTACCTGAAGCAAAGATGTGGTAGAAGGGAAATCTGGCATCATCTGTTTGTTGCCAAGACAGTGACATTTTCTGTGGACAGGATTTGTTCCTACTTGGCTGCTCAGCAGAAAGACAATGCAAGAGAGTTAATTCCCTGAAAAAGTCTACAAGACTAAAATAAAAAGGAGAAATTGAATTGTGAAATAAATTACAAGGAAATGCTAGGTACAGATGTAAGGAAGTTACGGGTGAAGTTAACTGAAATTTCTTTTTCAGATGATGAAATATACTAACAATGAGAAAGGCAACAGGTTTTTGTGGAAAAGGCATTTCTAGAACTTTTTCTATTTTTTGTTGAAAAAAATCTGTTTTAATTAGCTGCAAAAGATCTTGACTAGAAAGAGCAAAAGTTTTATTTGATCTGATCTGTCTTTGACAGCATATCCTTACTGCATGTGGCCTATTTATATAAAAGATACACTGTCATTGTCAGGAGCTTTAACAGCCTTGTTTAACTCTGGAGCTTGTACTGCATGAAGCCAAGAGGAATTTCACTTTCCTCTCAGTTGGACATTGTGCAATAACAAAGAAACAAAACCAGAATGGTGCCTTTTTTGCACTGCACTCTATTCCTTCAAGCCACACCAGAGCCAACTGCAGCCTGGCACTAAAACAAGTTTGTTAAGAAACAACAAGCAAATATTAGGAATCCCTTCAGATAGGTTGCAGACCAGTTTTAGGGCTAAAAATACAAACAATTTGTACTTTGTTCTTGATACTCCAAACACACCTTGTGTGCTTCACCTCTCCTCGTAGGACCAGTGCTATGAATTACAGGGTGCTGGCTGGTTCCTGGAAAGGAGTGGTTGCTCAAGGCTGTCAAAATCCCTGAGATCAGCTTCCAAGGAAGAGCCAATCTCACTATGTCACCTGCAACTGACACCTCCTGATCACCCTGAGCCACACCAGATGCATACCTTGAGTGCTAAACTGGAGGTGACACTGCCTTATTCTTCCTTTGCACTTCAGAAATCTGTCAACGCCAGGCACCTTCATCTCACCCCTGCTCATGGGTGTAGCACCAGCACAAGCTGCATCCAACCACAAAGTGCAGTCCTGATCTGGAAGGTCAGAAGCAGGGCTAAAGACAAATTTGTACTCCCTGGTGTTGATTTAGTCTATTACTTCAAATCCAATCACTAAACCTACATCATAGATACTAATCTACTAAAGAGATTACTTATAATGTAAAAGTTGACTTGCTAAGGTTTCCCTAGAAATCCTACTGAATTCCTTAAACTTATCAGTTAAAGGAAAACTAGCAGCACAACATCAACAACACCCTATATACCTCAGCCTATCTCATGAATCTAAATGAATAACAGGTGGGAGGTAACATGCCATTGTTACTTTGCAGGTGATAATTTGCCAGTTACCGATGCCAGTTGTTAACAGACAGCTGCAGTGACATAAAAAGATCCACAAAGTGTTTTGGGATCCTTCAAGAGCAAGGATCCTTTAGGATTTGTTTTGTTGAAAGAGCAATCCGCACCAGGAGTCTCCCCATGCAACCAGCTGTAGTGGCTGAGAGTAACTGATGTACTCTTGCACTTGTAGGCCACCCCCAGCTATTTGGTTGCCTTTGCGGTTTACATCATTAACTGATCTTGCTATGCCAAGACTTGAATATCTTGATACAGAGTTGCCATGAGTCTGCTATTTTTCTGATCAGATTCTAGCAAGGGGGGTAGGTACTCTCTACAAAGGCTGGTGAAGGCATCAGTTTAAAGCTGCTCTGTTTATTAGAAGTTCAGACAATAAAATTCCCACAGTTCAAAATAAGAACTTAGGGAAACGTACTCTAGAACTGAAAATACCATGGCTATTGCATTAATTTTCTTTACTTTTGTACCTACCTAGTGAAAGCAACCACAAAGCATGGCGTAATTAAGCAGAAAGGCAACTTCATCGTGAAAGGAAGAACAGAAAGATGTCCCTGGGAAAAAAACAAGTTTGAACATTGTCTGAGGAAGGATATTGTTTCTTTATTCATGTTTTCTAAAGAATGAGAATTTATATGCATTCCTTCTGAATAAATGGTATTACATAAATAGGAAGTTACTAAAGAGTCTCAGAAGAGCACAATTAGGATGTCCTCACATCTTAAGTCCATAATGAATTGCCAAAGACTACTTGTATGAGTACTCCTGTATTGTGCTTGCATGGCAAGGTTTTGATAGAGGGTGGGGGCACAGGGGTGGCTGCTGTGAGAAGATGCCAGAAGCTTCCCTTATGTCCAATGGAACCAATGTCAGCTTGCTCCAAGATGGACCCACACCTGGCCAAGGCTGAGCCCGTCAGCAACGGTGGTAACACCTCTGCAATAACATATTTAAGGAGGGGGAAGAAAATGCTGCAAAACAACAGCAGTGCAGAGAGGAGTGAAAAAATGTGAGAGAACCAACCCTGCAGAACCAAGGTCAGTGAAGGGAGGAGGAGGAGGTGCTACAGATGCTGGAGCACCTGCCGGATCACCCCTGCAGCCCGTGGTGCAGCCCATGGTGAGGCAGGCTGGGCCCTGCAGCACATGGAGGGTAATGGGGGATCAGATCTCCACTTGCAGCCCATGGAGGAACCCACACCAAAGCATGGAGATGCCCAAAGGAGGCTGTGACCCCATGGGAAGCCTGCACTGGAGCAGGCTCTTGGCAGGACCTGTGGACCCGTGAAGAGAGGAGCCCACACTGGAACAGGTTTGCTGGCAGGACTTGTGGCCCTGTGAAGGACCCACACTGGAGCAGCCTGTTCCTGAAGGAAGCAGTCCCTTTCTCCATGGAAGGGATCCACTCTGGAGCAGTTCATGAAGAACTGCAGCCCATGGTGTTGGAAGTGTGGGAAAAGCAAAACAGAAAAAAATCAATAACACACACATTTCCTTGACACATGGTGGCCAGAACAAACTTAGGATGGGATGAAGAATCGGTGATTTGTGTTTGCCTTGGTGCCAAGGAGGAATGTGAAGCAAGGTGGAGGCTGTGCGGTCCCATTCTTTCACTTATCTCAAGGACAGATTTATCTCCTGCTCTTCCCCTTCTCTCAAGGACTGTTTTGCAGTAGTCTGCTGACCTTGTCTCTCATCCTCCCTCTTTTCCCACAAAAAACAGCACACACCTCGCACCAAGGAATGTACTGTGTCATTATTCAAGAGATAATGGCTTGACCACAGTCTCACCCTCTCACACATGCATACGTGGATAAATACTACCCTGAGTTTGTATCTAACTCTGAGGGACAATCCGACACCAAATCGGATGGACAGATTAATGGGTTTGTGCTTCACACACACACACACACACACACACACACACACACACAGTAGAGATGCCTTTTGGTAAGATTTGAGCCCTCGGCTACTCTGAATGATTACCAAGGAATTAAGTGTGTGTGATCGCAATCAGATTTTTTGTGTGTGCAGTGCTATGTAGCCAACCTGCAGTTTGCGCATTTATCATAGGCAATCTTAAAGAATCTGTAAATGTTGCATAAGAATAAACCATACTATTCGTGAATCTGACTGATTCTCTTGAACGCAAGTGGACCTACAGCATAAGGGCTGTTCATGCATCCATGTCAGACCTATAGTTACAGCCCCAAGCCCCAACTGACATACCTATTAAGAGACAAGTCCAGTTGCCCCTAGCCCCTCGAATCTCTGAGGACCAATTAGAACACAAGGGGATTCATCTCTTACCAATTTAATTCATTCAACCTGAAATGCCACACATAGGAAGGCCTCATCTTGGAGAAGTTCATGGAGGATTGTGTCCATGGGAGGGACCCCACGCAGAGAAGGGGAAGAGTATGAGGAGTCCTTCCCTGAGGAGGAAGGAACAGTAGAGACAATGTGTGACAAACTGACTGCAACGCCCATCCCCTGACCCTCTGTGATGCTTGGAGGGAGGAGGTAGAGAAAACTGTGAGCAAAGTTGAGCCCAGAAAGAGGGGAGGGGTTGGGGGAAGGTGTTTTAAGCCTTAGTTTTCTTATTTCTCATTACCCTACTCTGATTTGATTGGTAGTAAATTAAATGTTTCCCCCAGTCAAGTCTGTTTTTCTCATGATGGTAACTGCTGAGTGATTTCCTTTTCCTTATCTAGACCCACAAGCTTTTCATTATATTTTCTCTCCCCTGTCCAGCTGAGGAGGAGCGACAGAGCAGCTTTGGTGGGCACCTGGCATCCAGACAGGGTCAACCCATCACAACTACACAGACAATAGACTTTTAAAAACACATTTAGTAACAAACAAATGTAAAATTAAACTTTAAATGAAAAAAATATATCCCTAATATGGAATTATGAAGTTAATATTAACTATTTAGCAAGGAATGCATGAAAAGATTGCACTTAATATTTATCCAGAGTATGAAGTATTGAATTAACTAAATTAAAATATTAAAATGTCAGCAATTTTGGGGAGGGGTTATGAAAAGCCAGTTGTCATATTGTCATAATACTGGTTCACATTTTCTACCAAAAATGATGTGAATATTTGTGATGGGATGAATAATTTATTAGTCCATATGATCTAGCTTATATCATGCTAGCAGCAATACAATGCAATTAGTAATAAAAATTGGTGATATTGGTTTTACATCTAGAATTTATTATGTTTTAAGAAAAAGTCATGACTATAAAAATACTAGAACAAAAAGGAAAACAAAATGCAATGAAAGTGCTGGGATAACATAAAGAAGACAGAAAGACATCAAGTTTCTGTTATTTTACTCTTCACATAACAACTTTGGAGTAGAATGGTCAGCAGTGTTAACTATACTGAGAAAATACAGAAAATAGAGCAAGGAAGGGATGCATAATGAAATTAAATCAGCTTTGTATTATGTGCTTATATTCAGACTGAAGGACTGAAAAATTTCATGTAGCAATGCCAAATCCTTAACTGTAATCCCCTAGAAATTATACAAGGTGCATAATGTCTTAGAATATTGGAGAAGAGAGTTACACAAATTTAAATCAAATTTAACAATAAATTTAATTTGGTTTAAGAGTGGAAAACTGTGGATTACATAATTCAATAAAAAGATCATGAGAAATAGCATTGAATTTTGGCTGATAGGAAGAGAAGTTCCTTTAATACCTACTTTGCTAATGGTCTTATTTTTTAGCAGTTACAAGAATGCTATTATACATTGTATGCTTGCAGAGCAAGAATAAGCTGTAAATGTAACACTATTGCTCAACTCAAGAAAGCACTTTACTAAAGCAAGAATCCTGACAATCTTCTTATCTTTCATCTAAATGAGACTTGGCAGGTGTAATTAACAAATATCAGTGATCTCATCTCGAGTAGGAGTGGAGGAAAAGTTTCAGACCAAAAAATTCTCTTTATCTGATAGGACCACCTAAATTGTATATTCCCTTTTGAACTCTGTATATTCCCTTTTGAACTCCATTTTGAACATACTCTGATTTTTATATTCTGTTGACTGAGATGTACATTTACACACTTGACACAAAAAGCCACCGGATCATTATCAGACCCTCACTTCTTAGTGTTCAGTATCAGGCCAGCTTCATTTCATAAACAATTTGTAGGGGCAGCTGAGGCTAAAGGATCTTTAAGACTTACCTAAACATACTACAAATTAACACCTTAATTCATTACATTGCCACTTTATTATTCTATCCATAAAATTACATGTAGTCTTCTGGTTCCTCTCTCATTTCTGCTATTCAGACTAAAAAGACTCTTTACTATCTATGCCTTTTAGGAATTTGTTTTCTTTTTGTAACAAAAAATCCCTTCCAGTAGAGGGGGAAGATTTTAGATGAAGAAGAATTCCATGACCTCTGAGAGGATGCTGGAAGAATTTAGACCACAGAAGGGAAGACTGGAGCAGGACATGATCACAGTCTGCAAAGATGTAAAATGTTGCTGCATGAAGGAAGGCCATAAATTATCCTACATATCTACTCAGCAAAGGACAAGAAATACAGGAAAAGAAACAATGGAATCAGTTTAGCAAGGAAGAATTAGGTACCATGAAAAAACTTCTTAACATTATAATTAAGTACTTGGGTAGATTATTTAGTGAGACTTTTAAAAAACAAAATAGGATAGTAGCTGTCAGAAGTCAAGCAGACTCACTTGTCCGCTCCTTCACCAAGCAGTCTTCAGGGATTTCCAGTTTATCTTTCCATCTCTAGAAATGAATAAATATCTTCCAGGTTTCAGTTCAACATTCACATATGCTCATAAAAAGAAATATAATTGTGACATCGATTTACAATCTTAAACTGTTGCAACCCTTAACTTCCATGTTAATGAAGTTCAATACAAGCAAGTCTTTGGCACTTGTGGGACACTGGGGAAGAACATGGCCATGGATGAGTGACTGCCACTGCGAAGTTGTCACAGGTGGCCCATTCACTTCAATGGCCTCTCAGCTGCTTTACCAGCTCCCCACGAGGCACTAATGCTGCTCTAGTTTAGGTGGGGGGAAAAAAGGGTCTGTAGTTCCTCAGCTCAATCATATAACCAAAGGGACACAGACTCAAAGTAAAAAGCAAGCAAATTTGGTGAAAAATAAAACTCAATCACCCTTTGCGATATGAGCAAGACAAAAGTGAAGGATGAAGGAAAGGAGATTTCAGGCTGAGCTTCACCAACAGCCTGAGTCAGTTCCCCCAGGGTCTGCGATGGCCTCTCTGTCCTTTGCCCAGCTGGGCAGGGCCACCCTTGCCATGGAGCTAGTGCTGCATCTGCCTGTTTCTATACAGAGCAGTTTCAGCAGGCTGACAGCAGGAGTGTAGCCCTTTTTCCTTAATGTGCTGAAGCAGCTCATAACAAGGGCAGACTAGACCCAGAGTGGGTGGGAGGTAGGGGGAGGGCTGAAAAGCTCTGGTGTGAAGAGCAAATCTCTAAGTCCATCATGCAACATCAGCCTTGAACTCTTAAGGGATGGTAAGACCTAGCCAAGCTTCCCTTGGACAGAAGCAGTAGCTGACTGCTTGAAAATTTGTCTTATTTTCTACAATAAGAGAATGGGGTGTTAAAATGGGAATAGCATGCTAAAATGAGAGAGTAAACTGCAGAGCCAAAGTCATTGCCATTCTGATAGACATATGAGTGAGCAGCAGGAGCTCAGAAGGTCTCAGTCCTTGTTTCCAGTGACAGGACCACAGGTGCCGCATTCAAGGGAAGGCAGGCCCCCATATGGGAGACTGCACCCAAGGGTGCATGTCACAGCTGCAGATGGTGCCTAGCCCTGCCTGACCACTCAAGAGCATTTGAACCTCAATATTTTGGGCTGAGGTACAGCATACCAATGTATGTTCCATGACTGCTGATTTAAAGATACACTCATCAACCTTTTGTACTACCCTTTAACTGCTTCTCATTAACTGAGCCTCAGTAATCACAGGAAATAATCAACATACATCTTTGGACTATTGTTTAAATAATGGATTGTGTAAGAAAAAAAAAATCACTAGTCATACCATACTTCCTGGATAACAGTATATAGTTATAAAAATAACTGAAAAAAATGCCTGTTCTTTGTATTATCTCTATGATAGTCACTGTTTTCTTCCTTTGCTTTATTACTGTTTCCTTCCTTATAAAACAAACATATACCACTTTCCAGAAAGAAACACTTCAAAATATTTTTAATGAGCTAAGACTTGAAGGAGAATGTGGACGATGCCCTAAGTCATATGGTTTAGTGTTAAGTAGTCCTGTGAGGAGCAGGGAGTTGAATTTAATGATCCTTATGGGTCCATTCCAACTTGAATTTCCATGATTCTTGGATAATTATTTTTTTTATTCTATGATAATTTTTTACACCCTTTAAATTTATTTCTTTATGTTAATTCCCTACCATATCTAAAAGCATCATTTGACTTGAATATTTAAGAGAAGCATATTGAAGCAGAAAGGTTGGCAGAAAATGTATTCAGGACTGTTTTCTTCCCCCACTACCCGTGGACTGGTGAGGTCCAGACATGATTTTAAATATGGGTAACAAGGGTGTGTGAAAAATGTTACATCTGAAAAATGTCTTAATGCCAGCTCCCCAACACTGATTCGTGGCCTGACCTACCCCTCAGTCTCTGTGGGGATAGGAGGTATGTAGTAGCTAAAGCTTCTTTACATAAACTGGCAAGAAACACACTGTAATTCTTCCCCTCCTCACACACCTTCCAACTACAATTGTATCAAACCTGTTTTCTGAAAGAGAAAGGAAATTTCATTATTAACAGCACAGAAGGAGATAGAGGGAGCAGAGACATTCACAGACATTAATATGGACTATTACCAAAAGAATCTCTTATCTACAAAACTATAAAAAGATCTGTAGAGCTCAGTTTCTTTTTTTTCTGTGAAGTTACACACAGTAGTTCAAATAAGAAGTGAAAGGAGCTCTGTGAACAGCTCTAAGGGCTAGCTTTAATCTGATACAGTTTCCAGATTTCTTTGTTATGAAGGGCATCTAAATTTACCACAGCTCTTCCAGGCATAGTCTGAGCATTGTAATATCACTGTAATTGAATTTGTTCTTCTTTTCTTTCTTTTGGGGATTTGAATGTATAACTCTATGGGAGCAGAAGGTGGTTTGCCTAAGGCTCAGGCATCAGTTCAGTTTACCTGCTTCTCAGGACTTCCTAATCCTGAAGCTATCACTTACTTAGCCAGAACGTGCCCTGGGCACACTACTCTGGAAACACTGCTTGTGCAGAATTGCCAGTTTTTGAAAGAAAGGCACCTATCCTTTTCCTAAAGTAATCCATATTTAGGCAGTCATCTGAGCTCCACTAATGAGCTTGAAAAGAGCTACAAGGGTGGTGATCATGGTTGACATAATTCAGACCCAGTTTGCAGGATGAGGTTTTTTTTCTATTTTGTGCTGACAATGCAAACCACACATGCTGCAGGGAATTGAGGCCAGGGCTCCAGGACTGCTTCAGCCCAGACACCAACCATGGGCATGCAGTTAGACTGGTCTCCCTCTTGATGCTTCTCTAGCTGACTACCATGGACACAAAAAGGGGGTTGGAGAGTGTCTTCACCTAAGGTAAACTGGGCACCACATTTAAGGAACTTTGAAGGGTTTAGATTCAACCCCTTATACCCTCTGCTGGTATTCCACAAACACCTTGACTATTACAAACAAGAGAGTCAGTAATCTGCAGCCACTGTTAACACCATGTAACTATCTTTAAAGAGACTTCGAAAGACCAGAGCACAAAATCCTGAAGTCATCTAGTGCTTCTTGTCGAGTCCTGCCTTCTCAGGGAAGAGGTAAACACATAGCATAAATGTACCAAGATGTTTTCTGGGGATATATATCCCAAGCAAAATGTAGAGAGAGGGAGAAGCATCCAACATACTACTTAGCTCCCCACTAAAAAGAAATCTGAGAAAAAAATGATAAAATTGAGAAAAAAGTGTTCAACCTGGGCCTTTCAGACAGGAAGAGTGGATTACACCCACAGGTGTCAATAGCCTGGGAAAATATCTAATGCAGAAAATAGTTACCAGATGCTCCTTTGCATTATTAACCAAAAACTAACAATGTCTTCACTAAAGCATAGACAAAGAAAGAGGAAACTTAGGAACCTGCAAAGTCAAATCTCGCCATTCCTATCTCTGCAACTAATGAATGTTAAGAGGATGGAAGAGGAAATGAAAAACAATTAAGAATGTATGAACAAACTATATATAGAAACATCCATTTGACAGACAACTGTAGAATGAGCTGGTCATCTACAGTCATACTTCCATGGACAAATCCAGAATCTCTATAGTAAGCAAGAAAATCTTGCACTGCCCAAACCTGCCCTGATTTTCAGCATACCCAGAAACAGAAAAAGGCTAGATTTACTGTGTCTAGCTCTGCCCTTGTGCAGCCTATCAGGCCTTCCTCTCCAGTCAAACCATACATACACTAATTTTCACATCTGCACAAAATGATGGTGAAACCTAACTGACATCTAGAAAAATGTTTTCAGCTCCTCAGATACAAGATCTTGTGTCATGATATGCAGCAATAAAAACTGCTAGAATTATCTGAACTACCTCTAGAAAGCTGGCAAACATTAGTCAAAACTTCAATTCACTGTCAGTTCCCAACTAAAAGACTATCCAAGGTCACATTCTCTACACCCAAGATCACACTTTTTTCAGTTAACGCTTATCTCTAAACATTCATCCAAGTGGGCACATCATCCATCAAAGTACACTTTTGTGGATGCTGTTCGTATCTGTGCACGTACAGAGTGCTCTTAAATTCACTGAATTTCCATATTGATGAAGCCAATATGCATTTAAAATGAGTTCGGGCTTCTGCCCACATTTTTAATGTCACTCTTTTTCTTGGTAGCATCACAGTCTATCAAACTTAAGTCTGTTCTGGAAAGCTTCAGTGCAGAATACATTTTCCTTGTTATTTTACGTGAGGCAATGTCACTGCATTCATGAGCTTAATTCTTCATACCAAAACATATGGAAGCACTGTTTAAAGTATGGTCTTCATTTCCGTAACATTCTCTCAGATGCTTCATTAGGAGGAGTGTAAACAATGGAAGACGAGCAAATATTTGCAAGGCTATTTCTGATACCATGAACATCGAATAGTTCTGCACAAGTTCTGCACAACTTTGCATAAAACAAGAGTATGGATTAAAGATCAAACCCAAATGTGATATTTGTGCTGCAGGACAACACCATACATTATTTTAATCTATTATATATAGCTTTTTATAAAAGAAGGTCAATTTTATTAGTTTTAGCACTTAGGGGCTGGCTGGAGTACTTAGAGAGAGTTACAGTTCTCAGTAAACACCGATCAAAACCAGACAGGGTTTGAGCATATCAGAAAACAACAAACAGTGTGAGAAAAAAGCAGAACCAGGCATTATAAGCCAGGCAGATTAACTTGAATTCCTGGAAACATAGTAGATAAAATGGTACTATTTGTTAAACATGAGAGGATACCAAGATAGTCAATCCCTAAGGAAAGAGCAGTAATTAAGTTTATGTTGAACTGGAAGGTGTACTGACAAGGGTTTTATGAAAAGATTTGGTGCTATACTCTATGTTAACAGCTCAGATAATGGCAAAAGATATACTTAATAAATTATTAAAACTTTGTAAATGAAAAATCAAACAGTGTTCAAGAAGAGGCATTATTGCAGTGTTGTATATTCTGTAAATGGATGTAGGTATGTGTCCTTCACCCATGCCAGCAAGCACTCCCCCAAAGGTATTTCTAGGTCCAGTTTGTCACATCCAACGCTCAAGGGACCATGCCCATGACACAGCTTGAACACAGCCACCACCAACCTATTCTGGAACAACAAAGAGCTTATCACCAGCATAGATGTGAACTGCTCTAGCCCAGCGGTCCTGAGGATCTGGAGACACTGCAAAGCACACCAACATTATTAATATAGAAGCTTTGACTACATTGCCCAGGAAAGGAGTGAAATCGTCATCACTGTTGGAAACTTTCTAAGAGGTTGTATCTGTCAGCAGCTGCTTAATTTTAGCTGACACTGCCATTGGGCAGGACCTTTTCAGTTCCCTATTTCTATTATGTATATCACAAAGATTCCTACACACTGGGTATATAAAATTCTAAGATCTTTAACCTTTAAATTGTCATGCCTTCTATTTTTTACTTTGACATTAGAAGAGACTCAGTCCATTCACACTTTTCTTTAAGTGACACCCAGAACAAAAGAGTATATGTTTATTCAAGCGAGACTGAAATCCCTCCTAAATTCAAAATTAGATATTCTTGAAGTTTACAAATCTGAAGTGACGCATTGTTTCACAATACAGCTAGCGTGACATGGAAATGAAACATCCCAGTATGAGAACACAATGTGTCTGTGTACCGAAGCTTTATATACTGATTGTTTTTATAACACTGAAATAAAATGCAATTCTATCAGCTAAGAATTTGACATTTCCAGCATCACAGTAGATTTGAAGGGATTTTATATGTTAGGAATTATAATTGTTATTTTTACAGTTACCTTGCTGAACTTCACATTTTTAGCATCTCTTAGTGATACTGCTCCTCTGTGCAGACTAGAACGGCTGGATAACTGCTTCACCCCATGTACAGCAACATCACCTAATTTTCCTCACATACCAGGTGAAGCACCTCTGTGCTTTTCTCTCCTCTGTTGCATGTGTCTCTTCACACAGACAGGTATGATGTGAAGGAAGAGACTGCATCCACATGTGCTCCTCCATGGCAATTTGTTTTTGCAGAGACCAGCAACTAATGGGCATTCACTGAGGATCCCTGCACACCAGTCTCATCATTAGGAGATCGAGGAACATGGAATTGGCAAGAAATGTGCAGGGGTTAAGATACTAACAAATAACTGAGAGCTGAGAGATAGATAACAGTCCTGGGTAGGAATGGATATTGGGAGACAGAAGGTAAGTGACCACAGGATGACAAACAACATGCACCCACAGTCACCCAGAAATATGAAGAGGAGGAAAACACTGCTTTCAACTCCTGCCTCCTTACTTTGTTTCCTCAATTGATTTGATTTCTCAAAGTGATTCTTTGGTTTGTTTGGCTTTGAGGGTTTTTTTTTTTTCATGCTGACTGTGTAATTAATTTCCTGGGGACATGGGAGCCCAATTGCTTGTAGTGTCAAGTCTGGTTTGGACCCTGATTTAGAATACCAGCTGCAACTTTTACAACCTCCTGGAAAAACTCATCTGACTGACTATAGGAAGTGAATATATGGGAGCATCAACCCAAGCTTTCCAAGTGGGTTAATGTAGTAATCATGGCCATAGAAAGAGATCCAAGGTGAGTATCTGATAGAGTACATTGTCCAAAGAAAGTGCTGATGAACTATAATGAGTAAAGATGCATGTATTTTGAAATTTATATTATTTTATAAGCAGGCCTCTCAGTTGCTAAATAAAAAAACATGCCTGTATTAAACCATTGGTAGAAACTACAGATTTGACTGCAGTGACCAGAAAGGTAACCCTGTATTTGTGGTAGCCTGTTGATGAGCCCTGCACTCACGCATGCCCTGGACTGTTTGGCTGCAGTGCCTGGCACAGCTTCATTGCCAAGCTGCTCTGAGCAAAATGTCATGCAGCAGATTGGGGAATCTAGCCTTGCACATCTGCAGTCTTGAGAAGGACTCCACTCAGTGGTAAATAGAAGATGCTGCAGCTCTTAAGGGCGGCAGAACATCAGGAAAGCCGTTTGTTCCCCACATGCCAGAGTCAGTGATCCGAACTGGTCTGGCATCACCTTACTCCCCTCTGTAAGCCAAAGGCTCGTGCCCAGGCTGATCTGCTTTAAACAGTGGGAAAGGTGCCAGAGAGCCATGCGAGACATGTCTCACACCTGCTCTGTGTCTGAAGGGGCTGTGAATGTCTTGTGCCTGTTCTCATCGTCTGACTCAGAGATACAGAAAAGTTACTTGCTAATCAAGAGCAGACCATGACTTAATGGACAGACAGCTTGCTTTCCCTGAAACACAATAAAAATCATAAGATTATTTTAAAGTATGGGGTTAAGGAATTACTTTCTTTCACTACTATCTCTGGCTCTTTTGGAACAATCACAAGACTTTTCCTAAAGCATTACCAGTGGTACAAGATCTTTAGGTCCTGTTATCTACAGGCAAATTCACAAAATAGGCTGGTTCCCCTAGATACGATTCCAGATTTCTATCAGTCTTTATCAGTAACTTTATTACTCACACTGGCATGAGTGTGGGCTGTTACATTTCAGGTATTTTTACATATAAAAATGTATGAGGCCTATTTTCACAAATACTTAGAAGAGGTCCGGTCCTGCACTTTCTGGACATGTACATGATGAAGCTCAAACACTGGGGCACAGAGGGACAGCAGGAAACATCCATAAACTGAAATGCAGAATGAACGTCATAAAGAATATACAGTAACTAACAGGTTTGAGACATGAAATGCAAAATAGAAGATTCTTATGCAAGGAAAGCCTGATTGGAGAAGGTTTCCTTTAATGAAAGCAGTAGTAAAGGATAATACACACACACAGCTACCACTGTTCCTCATGGAAAGATGTGAATCAACATTTTAGTTCTCTGAACTAAACCAGAGTAGTCTACCATTGGGCTACTTAGAAAAAGGATAAGTATATTTTTCTTCAAAGATGCTTTCTTTTAGAAGTCATCAGTTGAAAAACCGTGAGTCAAGCTCTGTTGGCATGAGAACAGGAATTAAGCAGAATTATAGAATGTCTTTAACTGAGTAAAAAATAAATATGTCTCTTCAAGGATACCAGATCTCTCCCCTCTGATGTACATACAGTACCCTAGAAATTTTGACACTCTGTAAGCTATGCTACACTGCCCTAAACTGTTCACTCTGTAGGGCATTTAATAGGATGAATTTGTCAGAAAAGAGTTTAAAGTTTTCAAATGGTAAGAAAAACACAGTGAAGAGGACTGCTGTCAGAAACTGTCTTGATACATGTGAAGTATCAGAACATCCAAAGAGATTCAATAGAAAGTAAGCATGCTGAAGAAATACTAAATACTCTTTCCAAGAAGCATTGCAATACTCTATTTTTTCTCTTCTGGCTTCCTGGGGCTTGTTTTATAAGAAAATTTTACAACAGTATACACTGAGTGTGTTAGCTAGTCTGTTGATAAGTCTCCATGTAGTTTTTTTTCTTATTCCATGCAAATCAGAGTAAATCACCTCACATTTATTGCACATTAAAATTTGTCTATATTTGAGGACTTACTCTGGAGTTGCTAGAGTACTGTAAAATTCAAACCCAGGGTTAATTGCATGTTAATTTCTATATAAAAATGAATGCAAAACCACTTCTGGCTCAGGAAATCCCTAAGCTGCAAATGTTGAGGCTAAGAGAGGCGAATAAGGAGCTACAACTTGATGTTTGCCAACTCTTGTGCTCTTCATTAAGCACCTGCTTTTGGACACTATCAGGGACAGGATGCCAGGCTAAACAAACCTTTTATATGATCCAGTAGAGCTGTTCTTAAATTGTGATAAAAGCCAGATTTACTGGCTTAATTCATGCAGACAACCCTGTCAATTCTGTTGTGTGGGCCTGATAGGGCTCTACAGGGATCCATGTTGCCGCAGCTGAAGAAAACATCTCACAGAAGATGGGTCATATACACACTTACAGTCAGACCTTTCTGCTGTTCTTTGTCATTTCAGGACACTCTACAGATGCCAGTCTGTATATCATTTCAAGCAGACTTGGATAAAGTTCAGAAATCTTCTCAGGATAATGGAATATTTCCAAGTGTGCTTAAAAAATTAATGGGTAGAACTGCTGGGTTTTGACAATAAATAGGACTCTATACCTGAGTTTCAACTGTATAAAAATATGCTGCATTATAACTATTTTCAGTATATATTGTTTTCTAAATAACAGTTATCCCCCAACTTCTCCAGTTACTGACTTAATATGGGGTTTAGAGGATATTGGCAGGTGCCAAGTAATACTTAGAAACAGTATTCAAGAAGGACTTAGAAATATGACATTTCTGGTCATAACTGACCACTTCCCTTTGCTTTGGGCATTGTAATTAGACCCTAAAATAAACTAAGGATTTTGATTAGCCAAAATCACTTCATCAGCCAAGCTAAGCTCACAAACCCAAGGCAGAAGCCATCATCCTCAAAGGGCAGAGCACAAGACAACTTGTTTCTGGGACTTGCCGTTCCCAACAATGTCTTGAACAGCCAGGAATACATTATCATCCCTTCTCTAACATTATTTGCAGTAGGCTATTGACCTCTCTCCCAGACAGCTGCTTTGCTGTCCTCTCTACTCCAGTATAAGCTCCTTTGGCCTAGATATCTATCAAATGCCTCCTGAGAAGGAGGACCAAAGAGCCTCCATGGTTTTCTTGTATCCAAAAGCCTGTTTTGTGGTCACCTACAGCTAGAAGGGAGAGTCTATCCCTTTGTGTTTTCTAATTTGGCATGGCACAGGGGGCTACTACAAGGGTGTGATGGCTGCAACTGAGTAGTCCTGGAAGATGTCTTCTTGCTTGCTTTGGTATAGTCCCTGCCACTGCTCTATGCAGTTGTTAAGGGACAGTGAGTGACATCGGTCCACTTCTGGACAAGGATGAGGACAGCAGAGAAGATAAATCACAGTTCTTGAACTGGTAGGACCTGATTTTACACCACAAAACTGTCATTGATGGAGGGTGCTTGTGACATGTCTGCTTTGATCTCATTTTAGCGAAAAGCTTAAGCCTGATGTGAGTGCTAGCACTGCCCATACAGCCACTAGTCATGCAGCAGGAGAGTGGTGGTGCTTCCTACAACGTTGGCCATGCCTCTTCCCTGCCTCTGCTACATTTTCTGCTTTCTTTATGTTTTCCAACAACCCAGGCTCACCAAAAGTGCGTAATCCTGTATACCATCCTAAATGCATAATCCTGTATACCACTACTGACACAGAATTATAGAATAGTTTACACTGGAAAAGAACTCTGTCATTTTGTTGAACTCCTTGCTCAAAGCAGGCCCTCAAAGCTATGTACTGTTTCAAAAGTTGCCAAGGACCTTTTCCAGCTGAGTTTTGATTATTTCCACAACCAAGAATGACATCTCTATAGAAAAATTTATCTATGTTGACACTCTTAAGTGTGAAAACAGACAGAAACTGTTTGCAAAATTAACTCTGAATGACATTTTAATTGAGCTATCAAACACCATATGAATAATTGAGCAAAAGACCACCTTATAAATATTTGGAGTGAGTTGTGATAAAATACTAAGCTTCTGGAATGGAAATGATTCTAGTATTCCTTGCAATTTCAGTCAAACTATGGAACTGCACAAGAAGCAATGGAAAATAGTTAAAGGAAGACAGTTCATAGAATGTGCTTGTCTCTTGTGATCCTGTTACTGAATGCAAATAGCTTTCATGCAAAATTTAAGTATTTCCTTCCTTTTTATCTTATTTCTAGCTTCCTCATTTACTTAAAATCACTTCCTTATTTTATGTCACTATGCTAAGTTTTTATATCATTAAATTTCACATTTTCAGTAATTATATTGTAGCCAGTTTTTAGTGGCATAATCAATTCCTTTCATTTTTAGTCCAACAAAAAATAAACAGCTTCACTGTTATGTGCATTAAATGTAGCTGTTCTGACAAACAATCAGTCAAGAAAATGGTCTCTTCTTTCCCAGACATTTGTTATCTTTGTAATGCGTGGAGATTGCACATCTCTACTTTTCCATTTCCTGTTAAAAAATTGTTGTAAACAGATTTAACTCTGGACGTATCTCAAATTTTTCTTGGTTTTAAATGCATTATTAAGTCAGAATACACAACAAACTGTGCCTTTAACAGAAGCTTACTTTCAGATAGCAGTTTAACAACCATCACCATCCTGTGTGGTAGCTCTGAAATTAGAAGTACTATCACCAGGAGAAAATGCTTCTCTTACCACTGCTCAAAAATAAAACCCAAATCTCTTGCAACTTGGGGTTCAGGATAAATCTTTGGGTGGATGGGAGATGTGTAGTCAAGCCTCATTACTATTCCACTTGCCCCTTGACAGCTGATTCATTCCCCTCACTCCCCCCACTGATCACAGGCTTCATACACCCAATATACCTTTTCTTCTCCCTGTTTTTCTTGCTTCCCACCACTCCCACACCCTCCCCGAGAGTAAACCCCAAGATGGCCAGACCCAGCAGGTGAAATTATTGGCACCTTTTCTTCAAACTGAACATGTCCCAGGACACCAGAGGGGGTTTTGTTCTCCAACAGATTGTTTAAAAACAAATGTCTCCATTTCCCACAGTATCTTACCAGAGAAAGTTTTTTCCTGTAAGCTTTCTCTCAGTGGCTTCTCAGGTTGCAAAACAGCCCATACAGTTCCTCTGTAGCTCTCTAGGAGAAATTCCTTCCTCTCCATCACCCCAGAAGCTTCCCCACAAGTCCACTTTCTGTTCCTCTTAGGAAAACCTCGGTTTCCTTCCCGTCTTCTCTACTTCAGCATGATGCTCCAAAGTATCACACACACACACACACACACCCCCCATGCAAACTCACCAATCTCAAAGAAGAAGCCACCTCCTTGTCCTTCTAGATGGCTCCATCCTGTGAAAGTCATCAGGGCAAGGTGGAGAGGCAGCCTGCCTTCTTTCCTCATCCCCAGCTGCAGCCTTTCCAAAGAGCACAGAGTACCCAGGCAAATAAGAAAAAACATACAAATATTTTACACCCTTCACTGCCTCACTGTGCATGCATGTGCCTTCATCCCTGTCTGAACAGTGCAGCTGGACTCCTGGGCAACAGTTCATATCAGTTGGCTTTTTGTCTTGGCTCTCTCCTATGCAAAGCACACTCTTCCCCCATTGCTTCCTCATAACCAGGAGTCCTATCTTCCTGAAGGAATCAACCTTCCCTTAAAACCCCTGCACCTCTCTTAGCAGTGTCTGCATTTCTGAGACTTCTGCTTTGCAGAACCATTGCTGACCAGCCCAGACTTGCCTGGCTCTCCCAGGAATGGTCAGCACTTCTGGCCCAATTCAACCACTTTCATTTCTACTTTGGCCTTTCCCTTCAATCTCCTTTTGTTTGGACATCTCGCACTGTAAATTTGTACCATCCTCTTACCAGCCTCAGTCTATGTTTCTCACTGCATGAGCCCCTGTTATCCCCATTACTGAATATAATTTCCTCTTATATTCAGAATGTCTGTCCCATCATTAGCCTCTTCTGGTGGACCACAGAACTCCTACATGTATATTCCTTAACTATTGACTGTAAAGGAGAATTATGTCAACTAGTTCTAAAAGTAGGTGAGATGAATATCATCTAGCTGTCTAGATCAAGAGTCTGGGAAAAAAGGCAGGAGTCTGGGAAAAAAAGGCAGTATAATGGTTGTACTGTGTGCATCCTCCTGAAATGAGACCAAATATTTCCTCAGAGGAACCAGAACCACTAAGCAGATCCTTAAAATGCTTTAGATATCATTGTTTAGTAGATAGTGAATTAAAAGTTGTGCCCTCCAGAATGTCATAGAAGGGAGAAAGCTGGATATGTCAGCTAGGGACACCGCTGAGAAGAGACAAAATGAACACTAACTGTTCCTGTGTCCGGATATGGTGACATCAAGACAACTTTTTGCTTATGGAGCGGTTAAAATCTTTCCTATTGACCCCGGAAAATCTGGCTCTTGCCCACTGGAATCTGGCCTGAAGGCAGTAGTTCATTTCACAACTATCTATCTATTCTCTTTGCATTTATAGATCTTTCTAATATTTTGTTCTGAATTACTTCTCACTTCCTTTTTCAGTCTCCTAATTTCAGAAGTGTAAATGACAAAATTAAACACTTCCAGCTCATAAACTTATTTCTGTATTCGTACTTTAACCAAGGAACTGCAGCTAATATTTTCTTTTTTGTTCCAAGTTACTGGTACACATATTAGCAAATAGTTTCTCTAAATTGATATTCTTTTGGAGGAGGAGGATGTTTGATTCCTCTTTGTACATCTGTCTGCCATGGCTGTGTCACTGTCTGACATTACAGAAAGTTATAATGGTGAATTCTTCCACAGCTTCTCTTTCCCTAAAGGCAGTTACTACTTCTTACATATAATAAGTTCAAGCTGAGAATCAATTAATTTTTCAGCCATGTTATAGTTTAGGGGTATAATGAAATTCGTGAGAAAAAACAGGACATTCTCTCTAAAATACCTCCCTATATATAATATAAAGAAAGGGCAAGCAATTGAGAAAGTAGGTGTACACATCTTGTCTATGTTGAGATGCATTTTATAAATGCTATTATGTTGCATGTAAACCCAAATGCAGAATCTATGTAGAAGTTGGACAAACTGACAAATTGTGGTCCCCCTGTTTACAGCATCTTAACCCTGAAGGTTTCTAGACCCAGTAAAAATCTTACTTTTGACACATTCATGCCTGCATATCTGTTTCTAGGTACATTTCCAATTACCTTGATGAACACCGATTTCAAATGTCCATATAAATAGTGTCGTTAAACTAGGTAATAGATGTGTCTCATCTGAGGAGCTTTCTTGGAGCAGGCCTATCAGCTAGGATTTGGTATGAAATACAGTGGCAGCCACACCTTTCTGTCAGAAGTCTACCTGCAGGAGAGGAGTTTAGAGTCAAAATTATGAGAGGAAACATAAACTTTGAGAAGAAAAAGCATTGTACCTGGATGGACAGACCACAGTTTCTTGTAAATTCTCTTTCCACTAATAGGGGATCAAGATGGAGGGAAATGCAGAACATAACCAATATTTCTTAGAACGAGTTTGGGGTATTTTTTTCATGAAGCTGTTATTACTAATATATTAGAGCTATTATAATAAATAACACATAACTGTTCACATAACACATTTACACCTTCACTCGCAGAGTTCACTCACAGACAGTCACTCACAGACTGCTACCTGGTTGGAGAAATATTTGGAAGTCAATCCCAGCTGTATACTCACTTGCAAATCCCTCAGACAGTCGTACTCTCCGTTATCAGATAGCAGCCACTGCTGTCTTGGATGTGGTCCAAGTTATACAAACCTCCACTGATGCTTGTGTGCACTAGTAGCCTTCTACAGTCCCAAAAACTCTTGGTTCAGTTCTCATAGAGGGAACAGGACTAGTAGTCTATGAAGTCTATCAGTCCTTGGAAACTTTTGAAAACTAACTTCTCATTATGCACATTTCCTGTCTTTGGCCTATTGTTTTCTGGTATCCATTCCTCTATCCAAACCTATAGATCCTATAGAATCAATTCAGACAATTCAGACAGAAGGGTCCTTTATAGCAAGTGTTACAATGATGGATTAATCTTTTTTGATCTGCTCAGTGTTGTTAGGATGTCACCTGAAATAGTACTGTCAGAAGGATCTACATACCATAGAGAAGGGTCTAGAAGGGAACAGCAGAAAGGATCAGAGATCTAGAAGAGGTAGCCAGTGAAGTAAAAAGGGAAGAACTAGTTGCTATTAGAAAATATGGAGAGGAGACGTGACAAGAGCTATCAAATACATAAGAATCTGTCTCAGAAACTGCTAGAGCTGTATAACACACTAGTCCTAAATTACACCACTTTCATTAGATGTTCATTAGGGTAAACTTTCAAATGTCAGAGATAAAGAAGCAACAATACACACTGTTTCACAGGATGGTAAAGACAAATCGCAACGGCCATTTCAGAACATGCTAGACTAGGAAAAATGGATGCTCATTTGGGTATAGAAATTTAAGTATCCCATTCCTCCTTCCTGTTATATTTACTTTTATGTTAAATTGTTCTTTTTAAGAAGACACACAAATTTTACTTAGAACCAGCCTTTTAATGCACATTTAGTGAACCAACATAGAATAAAAACTTATTTACATGCATTTCGTACACACGTAAAATATTTTAATTTAAACAAAATTTAAATCTGTCAAAACCCTAAAATATCAAAAAATATCAAATTAAATAAGGACCTCCTCTAAACTAAGAACTTTGAGTTATTTGTTTGTTTACATTTGGTATGAAATACACTGGAAAGGTAGAAAAAAAAAAAAAAAAAAAAAAAAAGCTGAGACAGAGAGCTGGTCCTGCTTCGAGCAGGGACCTGCACCAGGTGAGCTTGGAGGTCCCGTCCTGTGCAGTTCTGCCAGTCTACGCTGGAGATCAGGGTGGTATTTTCAGGATACCTACAGATCCAGATATAGTTTCTGGAACATGATGAGGACCATATTCTCACAGTTGTCTGCGGTGAGCATGGTTCTTCTTGTATCTAGAGGTGATACTGGACCCATGCAGAGACTGGAACTGAGTGTTCACTCACACAGCATGGCTCCAGGTCTATGCGTATGCTCAACAGTTTGCCCAGGTACAGAGTTTGTGATCAGATCCATGGATCTGCCTTGCAAGATTGCTTGTTCCTGCTAGTACAGAAAGCAAGAAGCATCCTGTGCAAAATGAACTAGAATTTCCATAGGAGAAAATCGCTTTGCCTTAAGAATTCTTGTACTCCAGTGCTTTAATTCCTTTCAAAATCAGGCCCAAGATTACTCTACTTATTAAACTGTTGCCTGCTCATTTTGTTCAATGTTGGTCACAAGACAATTTGATTCAGCATCACCACGGTATATGGCATTGTCAAAACTGGCTGTAACTGTTTGTCGATCACGTCTTTTTTTATAGAAGAAATAGAATGTAAGGCCAGTTCCTGTTAGCAGAAGGAAGATCAGTATAACAATCATCCCACCTAAACTATTTGCAGATGAAGCAGCAGCTTCGTTTTTTGATGCTGTGAGAGACAAAACAGAACAATTATAAAATGGACAAAGACTGCTATTGCATATAACAAACATCTCCCTAAGTAAACCAAATGAGTGAAAAGTACTGAACAGCTATAACAGCAGTTAAAATTGATGCATGTTCTGGATGGACAATGCAAAATTGGGCTCAATCACTTATATGTTCCTTTTAAAAGGAGCATTATATTGTACTACAGTATACCATTTGTATAGAAAAAAAAATAATCAAGAAGACATCCAGTTTGAGAGAAGAGCTCAACTTTTAAACAGATGCAAAATAAAATAATCTGTAACAGTTAAATGGATATTTAAATGAAACTTTTTTGGGGGAAATATTACTCATAAATAATAAATGCCTATAAAGTTATTGAAATTTATATTTAATGGGGTTATAGGAAACAAACTTACCTTTATTGACAGGTGAATCATGGGTTGGCTCAACTTCAATAACTTAAAAATTTAAAAATAGATATATTATACACAATTTGCAAGCAATCATTTAAAGATTAAATAAATACTGCATACATAATTTTTACTTTGCATTTCTACCAAATTTTAAATAATCATAGAATCACAGAATGGTTTGGGTTGGAAGGGACCTTAAAGATCATCTAGTTCCAACCCCACAGGCAGGGACACCTTCCACTAGCCCAGATTGCTCAAAGCCCCGTCCAACCTGGCCTTGAACACTGCCAGGGAGGGGGCAGCCACAGCTGCTCTGGGCAACCTGTGCCAGTGTCTCACCACCCTCACAGGGAAGAATTTCTTCCTTCTATCTAATCTGAATCTACCCTCTTTCAATTTAAAATCATTACTCCTCGTCCTATCCCTACACTCCCTGACAAAGAGTCCCTCCCCATCTTTCTTGTAGCCCCCTTTGGGTATTAGAAGGCTGCTGTAAGGTCTCCCTGGAACCTTCTCTTCTCTATGCTGAACAACCCCAACACTCTCAGCCTGTCTTCACAGGGGAGGTGCTTCAGCTCCCTGATCATCTTTGTTGCCTCCTCTGGACCCGCTCGAGCAGGTCCATGTCCTTCTCATGTTGGAGACCCCAGAGCTGGACACAGCACACGGATATGAATAATATATTAAAACATTTTCCCTAGCAGTTCAGACTGAACCCATGAAATATTCTTGTTAAAACTATTTGTTTAAAAAAAAAAATCCACAAACTGTTGTCTTACTATTAAATGCTTTGAACACTTTTTTTGGTAGGGAAGACAGATATTCAAAGTTTTTACACTTCCACAGTGTATGGCTTCACATCTCACACTGAAGAACTCAATTTTTTATACTTGCAAAAGTGAAAAGCACATTTGTACTTAACAGTATTTAAGCTGTATTTTTAGGCAACCTCTTTTTTCTCCCTTTGTTGCTGGAGGAATATGATTCAGTTAATTGCTTGCAGGACTGTCTGACTGAGCCCTATGAAGCTCATGGATGACTCCAGTGTCAACCTGCCAACATGTGGAGATCCACAAGCAGAGGACTCAATTGGTTCCATATTATATCTATTATATTTGTGCAAGGATCTGTTTGCCAGTGACATATCAGCCCTATTTCATACTGTCTCCCAGCTGATGTGTGCACACACAGCTGAACCCATGTGTATACAATGACTCACACTAGCTGCATGTGTGCAGATTTACATCCTTCATGCTTTATGCAACGCTGCTCTGTACGCAAGGGAGACTCATTTCAGCCTGTGACACATTCAGATTTTGTATTAGTTGACATCCAAAAAACCACAGGGCCACAAGTAACCATTAAAAATTAAATGCACTATGTTGTTTGGTTGTCTTGGCATGTTTCTCTATGCCTGTGTCAGCAGAGAAATTAATTGGGCCCCACTGCCCACCTCACTTGATTCTTTCTGCTTGGTCATCCAGCAGATCCCAGCACACTTCGCTGGTACAAACCCCATCAGCAGCACCTACCTTCTTTCTGCAGGAGTGCAGTAACTATGCACTGCTGGCCCTCAGCTTAGCTGTCAGAAGAGTGTCCGACTCTTCTCAGCCCTAGTTTAGTCATTTAGTCATCATATACTGCCCCTTGAACTCCAACCATTGAATTTTCTCCATACTCTCAACAGGTAATATGGGCTCCCCTACCCCAGGGTACAGCAAATGCCAAGAAATCAATGCTTTTAGACTGAGAGGGGGAAACAGTAACTTAGGTTCTTCTCCAACATTATTTCTCATTGTCCTTAAAAGAAGTTACTCTTCACTCTGATGCAGATGCACATGCATCAATGCATCATGCATCATGCATCAATCAACATCAGCATCAATGCATAAAGCATACCCAGTGCATAAGCAGTTTGGCTTGATGTATATTAACCACTACTTCTAAAATAACCCAGTGCAAAGAAATTCAGAACTTACTTTTGGGGATTTTGCAAATAAAATTCTGGTCAGCAGAGCAGTAATAGTTCCTCCAAGTTCCACTTGACACATCCATGTCAACACAGTGTTCATCAAAAATTACCGTAGGTTCCCCTTTCTCCCAGTTGACAAATTCTACAGCACTTCTGTCTGTCCATAGCCATTCCCCTAAAATTAAAAGTATTACCTAGTGAGTGAATGAAGAATCATTTCTTTTCTACGGGGCACAATGACATCAGATATGGAATTTATTAGTTGATTAAACTAGTATCACAGAAGGGTCTCACTCTTCTAACAGCCAGAAATATTCAGATGGGAGTGTACAAAATGTAAATGTTCACAGACAAAGGTAACTCCATTACCCTTCAGGGTCAAGCCTGTCAGTGATATAAGGAAGACATGCCCAGGCTACCTGAGGACTTGTAGCTCCTGTGCCCAGAGCTCATCTGTGTCTGGGAGCCTTAAGAAAAGCAGAGCACTTGTGCGAGCCATGCTCTGCAGTTCAAGGATCCAGATTGCTCAGGAGATTTTCTTTATGTGTGTATCCAAGATCAGTGAATAGCTGCTTTATTATCTTTTGAGACTGTATCAGGTCTCTTTAATAATAACACCCTGCTCATCTCCTGCTGAGGCCCATCAAGTAGGAATTATCGCCATCTCTGCTCCCTCAAGGTGTGCTTTCATGGCAGCATATCATGATATAACTTGCAACTGCCTCAATGATACCTCTTCTGTCTCCCATCTGAAGCTAGACTTTCCTCTTGCCTCTGCTTGCACTGCATGTAGCAGTGTGGCTATGTAGTGGACCAGGTCAGGAACAAATCACTGCTTTTGTTGTGTTAGTTTTCAAGTAGAACATATGAACCTGGCCCAACATGTGACAAGGTGCTTGCCATTGCTGGTGGTGAGAGATGGGGACTTGGGCAGCCATGGTCCAGGCCATTCACTGTAGCCCAGTCTAGACTCACTCTTGAGATATACCCTCAAAGTCTCCCATGAAAAGTAGGTTTCAGAATTACAATGATATAGAAAACAGCATCAAATTTGAAGTTAAAAAGAAAAAAAAAAAAAATCAAAATAAAAGGTTCCACAAAAAAATTTATGAAAAAATGCTGAAATTTAGATTAAGAAATATTGCTAGGTAGCTCATATGAGTTGATATCCCGTGTGTTGTTTAGAAATAAACTTCAATTTAAGGCTGCCTCGGCTTTTAATTACAAGACAACATTTTTCTTAAAAGACTAACACTGGTTAAATGTCAAACAATTTGAGTGAAAAAAAAAAAGTGACAGGAAATATTTTAATCTTCTACTGCAGTGCTAAGCTAGAAATTTTTACAGAATGAAATATACCCTAGTTACAGTAAAGATACAAAAAGAGTAGACCTCTTGCTGGTTTATGTTTTAAGTGTTTTTACAGAAAAGCTATTAAACATTTAACAGTTGATTTGTCTCTGATTATTTATTTAATATTTATTATATTAATGTTAGTATTTAGTATTAGTGTTATTTAGTATTCTGTTTATTTAGTATTTATTTTCACCTCAGTATGCATTGTGAAATAATTACCATCAATATTTTTGAACAGTCCTATCCACAACTTTCTGAAGTCACTTGCAAGTGGAGACAAAAAAAGTAAGAGAAAGTCCATTTCAGCTGAATCTTCTATGGAAACCAGAGTAGCACCTAAAAATATGAATTAGGTATTGCATATAATTTCAGCAAGGTTTTCCATTAGAAATTAATTATTTCAGTAAACAATAATCTCTGCACCGCATGACTCACAGGGGCAGTAACTCTCCCCATCAGCACTTCTCTATTCTCCTTATCAGGCTTCCAAAGGTTTATGGCCTACAAGTTCCAGCACGTCCCCTTCTAACAACAATAGTGAAGCAGTGCTTGCCGTCCTGTCTGATTCTTTCAAGTCCAGTCCCACAAATCATGATATGTTTTGTGATCAGCTTTTTCATATACTAGAAATGCTTGATAATAA